TATTATTTGTATATTTTTATTGAGCTATAACAGACACTAGACTTTTTTTTTAGGACTGTATGTAGACTTTTATGAGTTTAAGATATGATTTTGTTTTGTGTTCCCCTTGATTAATAATAACTTATACAGGGTGATTCAAAAAACCGCTGACAGACTTTTAGGGCAGATAATACATCAAAAATTAAGATGAAAAGTTTTAATATACATGGTGTCGCAAATGCCTCCTTAACGAGATATAGCGGGTCAAAGTTTCTTTAAAATTAAACATTATCTGCAATAAAAAGCACTATTTTAAAAATATTTTCAACGCCGCTGCTAATTTTGTCAAACGGGCAGTAATTTTATGTAAAGTGATCAATTATCTATCAATTGGTCTCTTACAAAACTTTGATTAAAGCAACAGTTTTTGATTGGATTAACAAATTTTCTATAAACGTCAAAGTTTTATAAGAGACCAATTGATAGATAATTGATCACTTTACACGGAAATACTGCCCGTTTGACAAAATTAGTAATGGCGTAGACAATATTTTTAAAAAAGGAACTAATTTAAAGAAACTATAACCCGCTATATCTCGTTAAGGAGGCATTTGCGACCCCATGTATATTAAGACTATTCATCTTAATTTTTCATGTATTATCTACTCTAGAAGTCTGTCAGCGGTTTTTTGAATCACCCTGTATAGTTTTTATGTAAAATATGGAAATAATATGGCCTTCTTACATGTTTTGTTAAAAAATTTCATTGAATTACATTGCGGGAGCTGAGATATTATCATTTTCCGGGCTGTATGTAGACGTTATTGTATCATTGTATATTGCTCTCATTGGCTAAGAGCACCAATTTATCTATCGGATAAACTTATCAGTAGGTGGCAAAGGATTAAACTTATTTAAACACTTATCTAAAGGATATAAAACACTAAGCCAAAAGGAAGTAAGGAAGAAAATTTGCTTATAGAATGGGGTTATCACACCAAACGACAAACAACAATGTGACGTTTGCTTTCACCTCTGAGTTTGACGTTACATATAATTTTTTTTATGGTTACAATCGCGTTGTTAGTGTAGATAATGCAGATTGCTGCAAATTCAGTCTACAACGTCATCCAGTGGATTGTGGGGGCACTAAATCTTGGTCTATATTTTTATAGTAGTAAGATTGCACACCATGTACAATCGTACATAACTTGTTAACTTTGAAGTTAAATTCAATTTGTATTCAATTTCTTTTTAATTTTAAGTAAATCAATGGTAATCGAAACGAAAACTAACCATCCATATTAAAAAAAAGCGTTTTTGTGGAATAAACCAGTTACTACGGTTAATGTTATTTTGGAACCTGTTATTTTTTTTTTTTTGTCAGATCTCAGTAAACTAACATTTTTCTATATTTATCAGCATTTCGAACCGTATTTTTTTCATGTGACTTTTTGTTTTAAATTATATTGAAAAATCATTGAAAATTCGCTTGAGCGAAAACGCCAACTTCACACTGTTATTTTAGAAGGAAAACGCCAACTTCACACTGTTATTTTAGAACCTGTTATTTTATTTGACAGATAACAGTTGTCAACTGTTACCAAGAAATAACAGTTACAAAATAACAGATAGTTAAATAACAACCCATCTCTAATACACAACCTTACTTATTATTTAGTGGAAAATATTATAAAGCGTGGTCATAGAACATGGTATCTAGGGTGGTACAGACCGTTTTTTTATAAAAATCTGGCAATGACAATTGATTTAAATAAAAAACAAACTATAATTACATACAATAAAACGATATTGAAATACCCCCCCCCCCCTACTTACAGAAATCTAAATGAAGACAGACCACACTATTCAGTACAGAAACTGGGTACTATCCAAAGCCAAGGCTTCCAAGCAACAGATGCCAGAGGAGGTTCAATTATAATGTCGAATCCAAAATACAAACTAATGAAAGCAAACCCCCCTTCCTTAAACAATCCTTATAATGAATGCCTACATTGCTCCATCCCTTTTAATGACGAACAACTACATATTTTCCTAGTATATTTCCACCCTCACTATCCACTAGAAACAAATGTATTTCGAAAAGCGTCACAATACTCATACGCTATAATAATTGGCGACTTCAATCTCAACCCGACAAAAAGAAGGCAACTTCAATCATTTCTGGACAACTCAAATTTCATAAAAAGGCTCACATAACCAACGTTCCACAGCAGACATCATCATCCACACCGCCAGCCTAAAAGATGTCATTAGCATCTTTTTTAGACATGTGTTCGGATCATCTGGGCCTTTCTTTCAACATCGAAATCGACACATCAACCCTTCCTATCCTAAATGAACAAAAAAATAAAATACGACCTAAAACGTACCAACATAAAAGAATCAACAGGAAATCACAAAATCAATCGTTACGCACACACCAAAAATAATAAATACGCACTTTCTATACTATCTGCCAGGTGAGATCGTCAATATGCTGAAGAATAAAAGAAAAATATACAAAGAGTACATCAGTCAAAAGATCCAACCAAAAATATAGAATTTAATTAAGCCAACAAACAGATTCAAAGAGCGATCAGAACATTCCATCTAGATCAATGGTTGAAGGTATGTGAAGAAATAAATAAAGACCAAGGACGATCTTTTTGGCAGAAAATTAAGAAAGTTACCAAGTATCGCAAATCTAGGATAATTCCACCGTTAACATGGGAAGGTAAAGAACACAAAACAACCCCAGAAAAATGCGATGTATTAGCAAAACACTTTAACATCGCGTTTAGTCCACAAGAAAATATTTTGTTTGACGTCAACAACAAGAATATTGTGGAGGATTGGTACAAAAATTTCATTAAAAATACAACTGAGTCGGAAGCCATTACCGATATTGAAGAAGACGAATACATGGACCACATCAATAAAGGAAAAAATTCATCCCCAGGAAAAGACCTAGTAACAAAACACCTATTAAGGAACCTCAATTCCAACACACATAAATTCATACGTAAGTCTGTGAATTATTATTTAAAATCGAGAGAAATACCGAATATATGGAAAACCGGTAGCATTATTGCTATCCCCAAACCCGATTCAGACCATCATCTACCCAAAAACTACAGACCAATCACACCCCTTCCAGGTCATAGGCAAAATCCTGGAAAGCATAATAAAAAAACGAATCCTTAAATACGCAAATAATTCAATCCTGACTTACCAATTTGGATTCAAACCAAACAACTCTACTATACATCCGTTAGTTCTGCTTGTAAACAACATCCAACTGAACCACAAATTAAATAAGAAAACTGTTACTTTGTTCCTGGACATTAACAAAGCGTTCGATACAGTTTGGCATATGGGATTGTTAATCAAAATAGAAAAAATGGGCATCAAAAGAAACATAATTACTTTAATAGACGAATTTTTGAAAAATAGAACGCTTCAAGTAAGAATCAATTATTTTGGATAATACCCTAAAACTATCCAAGCATTATAAAACCAAAAGAGACGAAGCAATCATAAGGGCAAAATAGTTCCGAGCACTAACTTATAAAAACAAAGGGATAGACACCAACACGGCAATGAAGATCTATAAAGCCATATGCAAGCCGGTATTAGACTATGGACACATAGTCTAGTACCGAGTAATAAGACCAAAAATATCATTGATAAAGCAGAAAGGAAATGCATAAGAATAATAACTAAAATACGACATCTAAGAAATCCTCTGCACAATGTAAGCAACGAGGGTCTATACGCTCAAACACAAATGAAACCAGTAAGACAATATGTGTTTAAAAAGAGATATAAAAGATAACGACAATAAACATTGAACAATCTATGAAGCACTTACGATGGATACAGAAGAAGATATTTGAAATTATATACTATATTACTGTTATGAATTGTATTGTAAGCACATTTATTATACACTCAGTTCCAAAAAAAGTGACGCACTTGATTTTTGACCTAATTTTAATATCTTATATTTTTTAAACCAGTGGGCCGATTTCTATTATTTTTTTATTTTTTGGTAGCCAATTCCTTTGTCTTAAAAAAAAATTAAAAAGGTGGAAATTTTTTCAATGACTCCTGGATGGTAGTGGAAAAACTGGAACCATGTTTTTTTCCTAATTTTTGACTCACCCTGTGTATTAATCAAGTAATGGTATAAAAAGTGCTTACACCCTATATGAAAGATGTTTCTTTTATGAGCATTTTTTTTTATTCATTAATTTATCTCTAAAATTGTCCGAATTGAAGCTTTTTTGTTGAAACCTTGCATATTGCCAACTTTCTGAATTTATGGAAAAACAGTTTTCTAGTGAAATAAACTGATACGAATTTTTAAAAAAGTTTTATTAAACACTAAATTATAAACTGGGATAACTGTTTAATACCGTGTATTGCCTCCCCTAGCAACTCTAAGAGTTTCTAACCTAAGCGGCATACTGGAAATCAGGTTTCTTATCGTTTCTATTGGTATACGATCCCATTCTTCCACTAACGCATCTGCTATTTCTGCGAGGCATTCCTGAGGCCTCTCGCGAGAACGTACCCTTCTCCCTAATTCATCCCACAAATGTTCGATAGGGTTCATATCGGGGCTTCTCGCAGGCCACTGTAATGTGGTGATACCCGTAGCTTCTAAGAAGTTTCGCACTATTACTGCGGTGTGTGGTCGGGCATTATCCTGCATCAATATAAAATTATTGCCCACTAACTCTGCATGAGGTAAGATATACTGTTGTATAATGTCAATGTAAATTTGGGCCGTCATCGACCGCCTCACCGGAAAAACATGAAGGGTGTGTCTTTCCATTCATTGACATCCCTCCCCACACCATAACCGACCCACCATTAAAACTTTCGCGTTCTGTTATTAAATTCTGATTAAACCTTTCACCAGTCCTTCTCCACACTCTTTTTCTTCCATCCACCATGGTAAGGCAAAACCTTGACTCGTCCGTAAACAAAACATTCGACCATTCAGGAATATTTCATTCTCCATAATTTTGAACAAAATTTCTTCTAGCAGCACGATGTTCGGGCAATAATTTAGGACCTTTTGCAGGTCTCCTAGCTTTTAAATTAACTTCTTTTAGACGTCTACATACCGTCTGCTTACTTATTGCAACACCACGAATTTGGCGAAGATCTTGCTGAACATTTACCGCAGTGTTTGATCGATTCCGTAAAATCCGCAATCTCAAGAAACGATCATCTCTTGGAGACGTTTTTCTAGGGCGACCAGAACCCACCTTCCGAGCAGTGCTTCCTGCTTGTTCGTACTTGCGGATTGCTCTACGAGCAGTTGCTTCATGTTGCTTAAGCATGTTCTGAATCCCAAATTGATATCCCAAAAATCGAGTGTTCTCTGATTTTTTGAACACATGTCTGCTAGAGCAGATTTTTCTAGAAAAATTCGAATAACTCGAGAATGGCCGAATCAAATTGCAAAAAGTAAAGTTATTCATAAACCTTGATAACAGACAAATCCAAATATGTAAAAATATATAGGGTGTTCCATTTAAAAAAATAAAGCAGGTGGCGACTTCCGGTATAACCGGAAATGTTAGATATTTGAAAATATTTTAGTCGAAGAGAACGCAATTGATAATACTTAAACCTGAATTTTCAAATTTTTATTTTTTCCAGAACCCTGTAAAGTTCTAATGGACGGTCGTCGTGGATGACCCTGTATAGTTGTTAGGGCTCGTAATACAGGATGCCCATTATGTATGGAATATAGTATATATCTCGGTAAATGTTGACTTTATCAAAAAACATTTTATACAAAAGTTATTTAATATTTTATTTGCCATAATAACACTGCATTCAATTGTTTTTAATTCAGAAAACAAATGAGTAACGAATAACCCTTGAATTTTTTTAAATGGCAATGTACCCTTTCGTTAGGCTCATTTGATAGAGATTACTTTTCTCTTTACAATGACGTAAAATGTTTGTACCCTTACATCAGAAAATTTTTGAAAAAAATTTAAAACTTTTATTAATAAAAATAACTCCCTCTGTCCCAAATTATGGCATACATTTCTCTTTACAATTTGTCCCACATTATGGTATACAAAACTTTGAAAACTGCTTTATTATACAGGGTTTTTTTAAATGAATATCGGGTTTTAACACTTTGTAGTATTTCTTACATGAAACTTTAAATCATAATTATTAAGATATGAAATGAAAGAGCAACTCAAACAGTTCTGTTTGTAAGTATGCGCATGCGCATAAAATGCAACATATCAATATAATTTGACATTACACTAAAACCTCGATATAACGGCTTAATAAGGGGAAGGCAGTGTCCGTTATAGCTTAATAAAAATACATATCCAAAAACTCAAAAAATACAATAATCTAGCGTTGAATAATAAATAAAAGTAGACTAATATTAGCACTCGATCTAACACTAGACCTACAACTAGAAACATTCCATTTAGCTCTCCTTTAGTACCTCTCTTAAGACGGCTGGTAAGTGATAGGTAGCACTAGTTAGCATAAAATATCACTATGTTGCATATTTTAATTGAACTAAAACTAGAACTAACACTAGACCTAGAACTAGAAACGTACGGGTTTAGCCGTGCGTCTTCAGACGCACGGCTAAACCCGATACTTTCTAGTTCTAGGTCTAGTGTTAGTGTTAGTTCTAGTTTTACACTATCACTAGAACTAACACAAGACCTAGAACTAGAATCATTCGGGTTTAGCCGTGTTGAGAGACGTGCGGCTAAACCCGAATGTTTCTAGTTCTCGGTCTAGTGTTAGTTCTAGTTTTGCACTATCACTAGAACTAACACAGACTTAGAACTAGAATCATTCGGGTTTAGCCGTCTTGAGAGACGTGCGGCTAAATCCGAATGATTCTAGTTCTCGGTCTAGTGTTATTTCGAGTTTTATACTTTCAGACTTTCATAAACAAATTCGAATGTTTCTAGGCAGCCGGCAACAATTCGAATTTTCCTAGTGTAATTTTTGCTTAAAACTGGCCAACAGCCACCCTTCTTTTTGGCGCTTCAATTTGAAAACATTCCTCCGAATTAAGAAATAGAATATAGAAACACCACATGTAGATTATATTAAATGCATAGGAACTCGTTAATTCTCCAAACTTTCCTTAATCCATAAATTTTAGAGAAATGTATACCATAATTTGAGACAGAGGGAGTAATCAATAACATTAATCTAGATATCCAAGATCGTCAAGAACCTCGAATTATTACCGTAAGTTAAATTTACATACAAAATAAAAGAAATAAACGAAAAATTAGTGTACATCTCCAATAATTCGAGGTACTTGACGATCTCGGATATCTAGATTAATGTCATTAGTTAAATTTTCTTAATAAACAATTTTTACATTTTTTTCAAAAATTTTCTGATATAAGTGTACTAAAATTTTACGTCATCGTAAAGACAAAAAAAAATCTCTATCAAATGAACTTAACGAAAGGGTACATTTAAAACAATTGAATGCTGTCTTATTATGGCAAATAAAATATTGAACAACTTTTGTATAAAATGTTTTTTTATAAAGTTGATACGTACCAAGATATATACTATATTCCATACATAATGGGCACCCTGTATGCTATAAATAATTTCTTATTTTCCATAAATATCGTTGTTATGATTTGTTAAATCCAACTGTGCATGTTTGATTGCTATAGATTTGAAATATAAATTTTAAAACATCGTATCTCGACAGTGGTTGCTATTTAAAAATGTAGGGGTGGTCATCCCCTTAAAAAACTCCACATTGCGTGGAAGTTCTAAAGTATCTAAGAATGTAGTTTTTATGACCCTTTAGTGACCCCAAATTTTCAAATTTTTTTCTTTGCTTGTTCAAAACTTATAGCTCCGTCCCGGGAGTTTTGGGAAACCCTGTATATTTTAAATCATCGTATCTCAAGAACGAATTGAGATATCATCATAAAATAAGAAACATTTTAAAGCAAATATGATGAAGATTAAAAGTATCAATGATTTCTTATGTTCCATAAACCTCGATGTTATGATTTTTTAAACCCAATTCTACACATTTGATTGTTATAGATTTAATAGAAATTTAAAAAAATCATATCTTAAGAACGAATTGAGATATCAGCATGAATTAAAGAACATTTGAAAGGAAAATTGATGAAGATTTAATATGACAGAAATGTTTTCTTATGTTCCATAAACATCGTTGTTATGATTTGTTAAATCCAATTCTGCATTTTTGATTGCTATAGATTTTCAATATAAATCTTAAAACATCGTATCTCAAGAATGAATTGAGATATCATCATAAAATAAGAAACATTTTAAAGAAAATATGATGAAGATTTAAAGTAACAATGATTTCTTATTTTCCATAAACTACTTACTCAAACTACAAACTTGATGATGATTTAATGTGCCTTAAATAATTTCATATATAAACATCGTTGTTATGATTTTTTAAAACTAACTGTGCATGGTTGATTGTTATAGATTCGAAATATACACTTTAAAACATCGTATCTCAAGAATGAATTGAGATATCATCATGAAATAAAGAACATTTTAAAGCAAAATTGATGAAGATGTCATAAACAATTTCTTATTTTCCATAAACATCGTTCTTATATTTTTTTCAATCGAACTGTGCATGTTTGATTGTTATAGATTCGAAATAACATTAGAGCCTTGGCTGCATGCGACCTCGTCTTAATTAATTAAAAAATATATTGTCATTGATTGATCAAACTCATACATTTGCTACTTTAATTAAAACCGAGGAACAGCAATGTGATGATTAGTTTCAGGTCGATATGATTAATCGTAGTCTCGGCCGCAAGCGACCTCGGCTTAATCGGATAAAACTAAACATTTCTCACTTTATTTAAGGCCAAGGCGCAGCAATGTAATGATCAACTTGAAACTAGTTGATATATTCTTAATAACTGGGGTTCGACCGCAAGCGACCTCAACTTAATTAATCAAAAAATATAATCTTAATCACTGAATGCAACTTTTGTTATGCATTCTTACATTTAATCGCCTGTTGAAAATAAAATCACAAGATCATAAACACCTACATTAAAACAAAGGAACTTGTTTATTTGAAATCTTAGTTACGATAAATGTAAATAATTTTAGTGACACTCTAAGTGTCAAGGCTATTAATAGGTAAATATATCGTAATAACGTTTTGTTATATAAAATGAAAAGAAAGCTTACCTAAAATATCATTTTGTGGGAACCACTTTCTTACAATTACATTTTTGGGTACTTTAATTGTTTCATCTTCGTAAGCCCATAAGATAGTTTCGTTTAATTCGTTAAAAACTTGTAGAAAATCTTCTATGGTACCAGAATTCATGTGATTTTGAATGATATCTGTCGCAATTGACACATAAATAACTCTGTCGGATTTTTCAAAAACTGTTTCTAGATCCTACAAAATAAACACTTTATTTTATCAAATTACTCAATTAATTATTTTTAATTTAATTTTTAACCTTCGGCAACTTTTTAATTTTATTTATATGCATCCCACCGACTGGAATAATATTCGGCGGAAACGGTTGTGGGTAATCCAAAATTGGATCATTATTCGTTAATAAAATCGAAACCTGCCTCTCGACCTCTTGGAAATATTTAATATCTTCGTGGAAATATTTTTGCGCTTCCATATACATAGGTGGCATGTAAAAACACCACTTAATTATGCTATCTAGCGTTTGCAAAACTTTATTGTATCCTCTTTGCCAACGATTCATCTTATCGCTGTAGGGTAAGGTGTAAAACGGGATGTACGAGTAAACGTGAGCGCCTATAACGTCTGCGATGAACGGCGGAAGTCCGAATGCGGAAACTCCTAAGATTGGTGGGTTTCCAAAATACTCGATTAAAGGATAAAGGCACTGCCCGGAGTGGAGATCGTAAACCATCAAGTCAAAGTGGTCTCTTGGGAATTTCATCAGATCTTTTAAAGCTTGAGATTTCAGGTTGTGTTGGCAAATGTAGTAATTGTAGTCCCATACTGAGTAAATGTTTTCTATTGCGGTCCAAGAATACAATGATGGTCTCTGTACTATATCATAATATGAGTGTTTGGCTCCTAAAAAAAATAATTAATTAATTAATTGGGAAGATTACATTATTTAGTTGCTACAAATTTCGAATAATATTAAATAAGGAAAGAGACTTTTAATGACTTTTAACATTCAATTTAATTTTATGGCTGCATCAGGTAGGTAAGATGTAAAATATTGAGAACGACAATAACAAAATACAAGTGCAATACAACTATGGGATTAAAGAATTGGAACAAATAAAAGAGTTAAAGAACGAAAAAACACCCGGAAAAGATAAGATAACTACAGAAATGATGAAGTATATAACTGGCAAACAACGTTAGTAGTCCCAATACATAAAAGAAAGGAAACAACAAAGACTGCAACAACTGCAGAGAAATAACATTTCTGGGTACTCCTAGGAACCTACTACAGGGAAGAGGAATGAGAGAGAAAATATTAAGAATCATACAGGTGATATATGGAAATAATGTTAATGCTATGATAAATGGAAATTTAAAATCTAAAGGACCCACATTTAAGGATGGCCTTAGGAGATCATGGATTAGCATACGTGAATGAAATGAGTGTAAGGTCCAGCTAGTCCAGAAAGATCAGCTTTTGGGCAGTTTATTTATTTATACCATTTATTGCCACAGATAAGAATACAAAACTACATAAGATACACAAGAAGAAAAAAACAATAAAAAAAAAATAATAAGAACAAAAATATATACATAAAACCCCATTCTCGATTATTAATCGAGCAATGGATAAACTTAAACTTAAACAGTATAAGCAGTATGAGCAGTATCAGCAAATGGATCATTTTATCGCACAAGCGATCTCTGCCAAATGACCCAACAGAACAAACAAAAATGATATTTACTGAATATGGCAAGTAGTGATAATTAGATATTATTAACATTTATCACCAAATAAGATTAAGCAAGGAAAAAAGAAAAACAAACAGAAAAATAAAGAAAAGACACGAAAAGAGAGAGACAACAGCTAAAAGAGACCAAAAGAATCTGCTGGATATCAGTTACCAACAAGTGAGAGCAGTTGAAGAGAGGAGAAAAAGGAGAAAGACAAAGAACGAAGAATCAGGAAACAGCCAGTTGAAGGGCAAGCAAGTGACTCTTTAAAACATGTCTAAAATTAGCAATGTTAGAAATATTACGAATTTCAGAAGGCAGTCCATTCCACAGCGCAATCGACTGTACTGTAAATGATCTGTGATAAATTTCATTGCTATGAACAGGAAATGTAAGAATAGTATCAGAACGTGAACGAGTAGCAAGCTCATGAATTGATAATTGCTGGAACCTATCTGATAAGTACTTTGGGGTGCAGTTATGAAGGATTTTAATAAACTGGTTAATAAACGAAAGAATCTACGTCCCTCACAGGTTAACATCTGAATGTAATTGCGATACAGTGTTACATGCTCAAATCTATTTAGGTCAAATATGAACCGGATGAAATTATTTTGTAGCCGCTGCAATTTACTCAGAAGAGTTACCGAGAGATCGGGATAAACCGCGTCCGCATAGTCGAAGTGAGGAAACATAAGTGAGTAGCAAAGATTACGATGGACCACAGGAGGAAGAAAGAAGAGAAGTCTCTTTAAAACAGCGATGCACAGACTTATTAAGACTAGGGGCCACTCGGGCAAATCATGAACTGATGGCGGGCCGCCAGAAGTATAGGTAATTAAAGACAATAAAGAATTGATAATAATGTATTAAAATTGAAAAAGAATTTATTAATTTGAAGCGTGGCACTGCATAGTGCTTACAATCTTTTTTATATTTGGCTCAAATTTACTTGTAGCAACACGTAAAACTGCTTCCAAACTATCATTTGCAAGGCGGTTTCGATTTTTTGTTTTATTATTATTTAGTATTGAAAAAGTTTGTTCACATATATAGGTAGAACCAAATAAGCTGGCACATTTCAGAGCGTTTATGCGCAACTCTTTGTACATATTTTTATCAATGCAGCGGTAAAAGTTCTGCAAGTCTCCTTCGTTGAATTTGTTGCGTAAATCTTGGTCGTTTTGAATGTCGATAATTTCTAACTGCATTGACTCTGGCGCATTTTCAACTGAAATCGTGAAAGGATTGCTGAATATGTCCAACAGAGGTTTCACTTTTTTAAACTCCGAAAATCTGTCTTGAAAAGATTGAATCAAAATATCTAGCTTTTCTACATAACTGAAATTAATCGCAGTTTTGTTGAATTTTTTAGCCATTTTCTTATAATTCGGAAAATGATTGTAATTTCCAGAATTCAATTGCGATCTGAAAAGTGTCAGCTTGCTTTGAAAGGATGATACATGAGCGTAGAGCTGGGATATCAGTTGATTTTTGCCTTGAAGCCGTGTGTTCAAGACATTCAAATGATTTGTAATGTCAACTAAAAAAGCCAAATCACACAACCAATCAGGATTGTTAAGTTCCGGGACATCCTTTTGCTTTTCCGCCAGAAATATTCCAATTTCTTCTATTAAATTTAGAAATCGTTCCAGTGTCAATCCACGACTTAGCCACCTTACTTCTGTATAATACAGTAAATCTCCATATTCGCTTTCGATGTCATCAAGGAATTGTTTGAATTGCCTGTGATTGAGTCCTCGTGATTTTATGAAATTTACAGTCGAAACTACCACTTTCATGACATTTTGAAATTCAATTTTTTTAGAACAGAGGGCTTCTTGGTGTATAATGCAGTGAAACTGCATGAGATCTTCAGCGTTTATGTTTTTTTCTTGCAGATGCTTTTTCAGCAAAGTAACTAGCCCGGAATTGACACCAATCATCGAAGGAGCACCGTCAGTCGCAACTCCCGATAATTTTGATAAGTCCAAATCAGTTTTTGAACACTCATCCAAAAGTACATTGAGTATATCAACTCCTTTGGTTTGACCTTTCAATGAACACATTCCTAATAACTCTTCTAAGACTTCAAAATCTTGAGTAACACCTCGTATGAATATGAGAAGTTGAGCTGTGGAACTAATATCAGTGGATTCGTCGAGTGCTAATGAAAAAAATTCAATGATCTTAGTTTTTTCAGTTAATTGTTCCGCAATATTACCTGACAAAGACATAATTCGTCTTTGGATAGTCATACGATTCAGTTGAATTTTCTCAAACTTTTTTGCTGCTTCTGGACACATTTTCTTAGCGGCAATTTCTATGCATTCTTTTACAAAATCCCCATCATTGAAGGGGCGACTTCGCTTTGCTATCATTCGAGAAATTTCATAACTAACTTCTGTAGCTGTTTCTGAATCTTGAATGGGTTTTATAAACATAGCTTGCTGACCAATAAGCTCCCGTTTTAAAGACAACATTTTTTGCTTTCTTAATTCGCCTGTAAACTTGGTAAAAGTAGGATGCTGCGTTTCATAGTGCCTTTTTACATTATATTCCTTTGCAATCGCAACAGAATTCTTGCAAATTAAACAAACGACTTTGTTATGCGACCATACGAAAAAGTATTTCTCAGTCCAAATTTCTTGAAACTGCCGATTTTCATCTTTAACCTTACGTTTTTTACTAGGTCCTGGCTTGTCCATGTTGTGTTCTAATCCTGGCTAGGATTAACACAGCACCTAAAAACAATTACAGTACCTACTTAAATTACCCATCCTTTTTTAAATTACCAAAAATAATTGATTAAATAGGTAGGGAAACACTTATTAATAACAGAGTTTTACTTACGATTTCACAACACAATTATACACGGCACTTGGCGGGTTAACACTGCAACAGGTAATCTACGTTGAATGTGGATCAAAATATATGACACCGGCTAGTCGAGTTAAAATCTACACTAGAACTGTTGCCTTCCAAAAACACTATTAAACTGCACTTATTCTCAATCACCTGTAACTTGCTTTGTATTTTCGCGCTTATTTCTTTCTGTTGACACTTCACTCAAATTTAAACCGAACTGTCGGTCGCTGCGGTTAGCGTGGCTTTTATACCGCGCGTGTAGAGTCGAAAACTGTCTGGAGAAATCTCGAAACCGACTCTGGAAGCTTGTATGAATTGTGAATGGAAGCGTGTATCTACGCGAGCAATCGGGAATTCTGTGCATCTCTGCTTTAAAGAGTGGAAGCAAGCATAAACTTTTCTGCAAACATGTTGAATTTGCGATTTCCAAGACAGTACAGAATCCATAAGGACTCCAAGATTTTTAACTGTGTCAGAAAACCATATGACACTTCCATCCAGCATCAGATCACTGCATGTAGATGGATTAATCTTACCAAGTAATTGACGAGTTCAAACACAATAGTTTGCGTTTTAACTGAGTTCAACTTAAGTCCGTATCTCCGAGACCAGTTCAAGACGTTAGATAGATCGTTATTAAGTCGCACAATAGCTTCCGGAAATTCAGCAACAGTTGTAGTAGTATATATCTAGAGGTCGTCAGCATACAAATGATGATTACACGAGATATAATTAGTAACACTATTAACGAATAAAGAAAAAAGTAACGGACCCAATATACTACCCTGAGGAACACCACATTTGATTGCAGAAGCAGAGGAAATTGAAGAGTTAGCTCGTGAAACCAAGAAACACAGGAGAGAGTGAATCCGTAGGCAGAAAGAGACGCTAAAAGAAGGCTGTGGTCGACAGAATCAAAAGCCTTGCTGAAATCGAGCAGTACTAGCACAGTAACACATCTGTTGTCGCAGGCATACTTAATATCATCAGTAACTTTAAAGAGGGCAGTAGTTGTACTATGCCCACTGCGAAAACTCGGTTGCAACTCAGATCTGGTGACTTTTAGTGACCAACCTAAATCTGGGGGGTGAAAATATAACTAGATTTAAGTTGGTATTGATAAAGTTACTATATCTGGTGACTTTTTTTATTCCTCATTGTCTCCGGTTACCTTGCAATATCACCATTCGCTTTCCATACATCTCCTTTCTCATTTGTCCCCATTTCAACATTAATCACTTCCTTGACATAGTTCCGGCGAATAAGTACGGCGGCACCCCAACTACTATTTATTCTCCAGACACTATAAGAGATTGTATTTTTTGAGTTGAAATGGTCACGCTGTTTTTGCGACATCATTACTATAAAAGATTATTTTGATTTGTTTGTCTTATACTCTGTACCAGTCACTAGCGGTCTTGACATTCTTGATAATATCGCCCATCATGACGTTGAATAATATGTGGCTGAGGTTATCACCTTGCCTATACCCAGGTAGATAGAATAGACCATCTAAAAGATCATTTACTTCTGTTTTCTTCTATCTTTTCATTTATGTCTTCTATTTTCGATGTTTGCTTTATTCTCTGATATAATTGTCGGAAGTGCGGATATTGTATTTGCTTGTAGGTACTCATTAATTGGTTTCTTGCAGGTCCTTAACATTTTCCGTATCTTTTTATGTGCATTAAGCTGACTAAAGTTTTTAAATCTTCGTGATACAAAATCACCAACGTTAACGCATGTTAAGTGATAGTGTAAATTATGTAACGAATTTTGTGCGTTATAGAAAGTAAAATAAAAAGGTTGATGGGGACGGTGAAATTTGGGTAAGTATATCATCAATCAGCGAAATGGAACAATGAGTAAAAGATTATCGGAAGCAACTAAATCGAAGTTGATGAGTAGTTCATACAATAGTCATCGAAAGAGCTACCTGAAGAATCGAGTGGCGAAATTATGAGCAAACGAGTAAAAATTGAGTAAAAATTAAAAATAAAATCCATTAAAGTGCAAAAAACGAAGTTTAATTTATAGTTATATAAATAAACTAAGGTCACCAAACCACTTCGTTGATTACAACATTTGCATAAAATTTGAATTAAATTTTTTTTGTAAAATCTTTTGAATTTACATTAAAATAGTTGTTCTCTGTAATAAATATCGTTCCTAAGATTTTAATTAAGTACTGTTGTTTATGCTAGAGCAGGTAGACTCTCATAATGTAAATAAACACTAGCCTCAACATTATATTTATTTATAAAGAAAAGCGCAACAAGCTAAATAAACTTTTATTAAAATAAATATGTATTTTATTTTATATTAAGATTTTGAAGAGAAATTATTTATGCATTTAAAAACTATATTGCTTTTACAGTTGCTCAACTCATTAATATATTTACTTTTCATAAAAAAAGAAACGTTTATCAATATTGATTTAACGTGGTGGTACCTGATAAGATACTAAAAAAAATTATAACACGTTCTCCACGCGTTGTTACTCTCTGTGTCGGTTACTCACTAATATTTAACTTACCTTCAATTTGAAAAAGTGTATAATTTTCATTTTGAACATCACTTTCTTCGTGTCCAATCAAAGTGATTTGATGTCCTCCTTCTAAAAGTTTTTGCACCAAAGCTTCGTTCCATTTGTGATGACTACGCGATGAAACCAACGTTACAAAGAGTATGTTCGCACAAAACGTGGATGGAATAGCTAAGGCGAGAATTATGATCACTTGTCGAAATAACATTTTTTTTTGTTAGTTTAAACGAAGAACAGTTTTAACGGCATCCTCTATTAGTAGAAGTTATTATCTAGCTTCGGGTGTTGACACCTACATAACTAAAGCACGCGCGCATATTTACTTAGAACGCGAATTTTATCGAATGATCATCAGGAAAATAAAAATCGGCGGTCTATCGACAAAAACGCGTTTTGTTCAGAGGAGCGAGAGACACTATCAGCCTTTTATAAATCAATGACAACAATGAGTTTATACCTTAACGTGATGAATGTTATCATTTTATTTATTGTGTTGTAGGTGGATATAATGAGTTATTGAAAAATTTAAACAGAATATTTTTATTAATTTAAATTTAATTTGACTGAGTCATTAGATAAAGAATAAGTATAAACAATGTGCTTTCAAAATTGTTATTGATAAGCTTAAAAAAATATTCCTATGTACTTAACTTTTGTATTAATCATCTTAGATTATCTAACATCTTAAATGAGTAGGTAGATTTGTTGTACAGTTATCGTTTCCCACGTTTTACATGATAAAAAAATGAATATAAGCAAATATTAAGATAATGAAATTAAAAAGATAAAAATAAGTCAACTCAACAATTTATGAAATTTAATATACTTAATTATTTGAAATATTAATTCCTTTTTGTGAATAACTTTATTAAAATTTCATTAATTAAAAAGTATTTTTAAAGTTATTTTTAATCATCAACACCAATTAAAATATGATAATTAGATAATAAGCATTTTAAAGCTACTTTCATCTAATTTTATCGTGCCAAGCAGCATTTCTTAGTTTCCATAAATCTTACCGTTATGATTTTTTAAATCCAAGTCTACACGTCTACAGTCGAGGAGATTATGTTGAAAACAGGTAAACAGTTGTATCTAAAATTACATTGAAGAAATTTATTTTAAAGCGCTCGCTTGGTGTTTGTGGGGTTTCATCCTTATGTTCATAATCGAATTGTCGTTTTTGTTTTCTTTTTCGTACGTTACCTAAGATTTGAAAGTCAGTAGGTATTTCGAGTATGGTAGCTAATTCGGATGAGGTTTCTATTAGATTTTGAAAACCTTCATCAGTGCGGTAATTTTTTACGTAAGTAGTTAAATTATTTATAGCTTTTAAAGCGGTTCCAACATCCATTTCGATCTTCTGCAGGAGCTTGCTAACTACATTTACTCTGTTAAGTATATCATACCACAGTACTAATGAGCATACAAAGTGAAAATTGGCAATTTTGGAACACAAAATTCTAGCCTGACATTTGATTTGGTTATCCATTTTTTCATTCTCCTGAATTTGAAACAAAGCGTCGTAAATTTCACCAATTTGGAATCGCAATGGTTTTAAAGCTTCAACACGAGACTCCCAACGAGTATCGGACAATGGTTTTAATGTTAAATTTGGTACACATTTTTTCAAAATATCCCATCATTTAGTTGATGCCGAAAAAAAATTATATATTTCTTGAACAATTCCGAAAAACGTAATAGTTTGGTGGTTGCAGTTAGCGGCATCCTTGACTACTAAATTTAGGGAGTGAGCAGAACAAGGGGTAAAGTAAGCTCTGGAATTAATATTTAAGATGTGTCTCTGTAATCCATTGTTTTTCCCTTTCATGTTCGCACCATTGTCATAACCTTGGCCACGCAAGTTGCTGATGTCTAAATTAAATTCTTTAATTTTTTCTATTATATAATTGGTTAAACCTTCACCAGTTGAATCTTTGATGTCAATGAAACCAAGAAAATGTTCTTGAATCTGAACTTGGTCATCAGTTGACACAAATCTTATAATAATGGTCATTTGCTCAGTATTACTGATATCCGGAGTACAATCCAATATAATTGAAAAATATTTTGCCTTTTGAATTAACAATAAAATCTTTTCTTTAATTTTTTTAGCTAATAAAGCAATTAATTCATTCTGTACATCTTTACTCATATAATGCACAGATTTCTTTTGTAACGTTTTTTGAAGATGACTAGACATAGTCACATCAAATTTTGCCAGTAATTGTACAAGTTGTAAAAAATTTCCATTATTTCTAACAAATAATTGATCTGATTTTCCTCTCAAGGGAAGACATTGTTTACATAAATATTTTATAATTTCAATAAATCTTTCTAAAATCGCACGCCAGTGCTGTTTTTCCAACTCAAATAATTTTTCTTGTTGTTGATCAATTGTTCGTTTTGATTTCAACGCACGTTCTAAATGAACCCATTGTTTAAAGTTGTTTAAATGAGCTAAAGATGTTTCATGACTATGTAAAGTTTGTGACAAATTTTGCCATTTAGAATATCCAGTTGTAATTAGGCGGCTTGTATTAATATTCTCCAATGAGTGACAGGTAAACAATTTACAGCAAAAACAAAATACGCTATTGCTTTTTTCCGAGTACCTTAACCAGTCTCTAGGAACAGATTCCGAACTTGGCATTTTACGATAATAATATGTATCGCTGAATTTTCTTCCGTTATCATCAGATGGGTACAATACGTTTTGTTTCTTTGTCGGTCCGAGTTGAATTAAAAGTTTTCTTACTTTTTCATTTATTGGAGGCCATGTAGCTGGATCTTGAAGATTGTTCAAAACATCTAATGTTGGTGTATCATCAGTAATCAGAAATTTTGTTGATATGGATAAGGTTTCTTCAGAAGATGCTCCTTGCGGTTCGATTTCAGGTTCAGGAGATTTAGTATGTTGTGCGCTTTTGTCTGCAGAATGGCTTTGAGATGTCGGTAGTTGATCTTCACGTAGATTTTCATTCGAAGGAACTGGTAAAACTTCATTTTTTGTCATCAAATATTTCTTTATATCGTCTCTTTGTTTTTCCAACTCCAATTCTCTGGTCGCTTTGCGTTTTCGATTTTGATATCCGGAAAGTTTTTTCGACATTTTTAGGTGACAACAAGGTTATTTTTTAATTTCATAAATTTAATGTAAATATAACACCTAACATAAACTTACCTATTTACGGATGAACAACTCACAAATAAACAATGGATTTCGAGAGGAGATACACTTTATACCCAGAGTACACAAACTAATGTGCAAATCTAAATAACAAGTCGAGTTGTTCTTTAGAAATCCCTAAACGCGACGCAACGACGCGACTATACGGAGACGCGACGCCAGACGCAGGGCTCCAAAAGAGCGCCTAGTCGTCGTATAGACTTTTTTTTTAGAAATAATGTATACAAAATAATAATTATCTTAATATACCGTACATACATGCATATGAAAAATGCCAACATTTTATTATTACTTCTTTTTTAATAATTTTTTAAAATAATTTTTATTATTGAGGTCTACGTTGGCGGCGTTGGCGCCCCCGTCATAATGCGCCTCCATGCGGTGCTTAGCTTGCTTACTGCATCGCGCCGCCCCTGTTTGTTGGTATGTGATTCTTTCCCTTATCAGTAGTGGTTATTAATTTGGAGATTTCTCTATCTGCTGCTCGCATATATGATGCCCCAGTTCACTCTCCAATATGCAGATGACCAGGTTAACATTGCCCAAGATGAAGATGATATTGATACATGACTTGAAAGATCAAAGAAGAACATGAAAATGATGTGTATGAGGAATAATGTAGATAATTTGGAGATATCTGATAATGAAAAAATAGAGAAATGTCAAATATAAATATATTGGAATAGAATTAAGCAACAAAAGAAAAAACCCCCTGTCTAACAAGTCTTATCTACTTATAACGCTTACTGTAGATTAAATAACTTATATAAGTAAAATATAAAAGTCTTCTGAACATGCTAAACTGATAATATTTACATCAGTTTTGAACACAATATGTCTAGAATAATATCAGCATCTCCTGTATAATATTCCCCAATTAACTAGCAACATGTACATAATAACTTTGGGTAATCTGAGTGTCTTCATCATCTAATCAATCAGCACAACGACAGTAGATTTACCCGAAAATGTTTCACGCATGGCACCGAGGAAGGAACGCGCAGAAGAATTCGGCACATTGCCTTCGTAAAAAGTCGACCAGGACAAGGATGATGACATCACACTAGTCTGACATCCTTGAATAATAATAAATCGAGTTTTTATTCGAGTGTTATGATCTCCTCTTTCTTCACAAGCCACCTCTTTGCATAAAACAAACGTCCTTCAGGCGACGAATACTTTATCGTATCTAGTATTTTTTGCTTAAAAAACTAGATATTCTAAACTAATTGTAAGATCTTCTAAATTTTTGAGGTGTTCAAATTGCAATTTAGTCGTCATTTGCAAAAGCTTTTAAATTGTTAATTACTTTGAAATCCTCATTATATGTAGTAATTGTGTTGTGCTGCTTTTAACCGTGTCACACTCCAGATCTTCTTCTGATGCAGGATCATGTTCAATCATGTTTTCAATCACATCGTCAATGTTCAAACTCATCTCTTCTGTTGCTGCATCGTCGATTCGAAAATAATTTTGAAGATTTTTTTGTGTTAAGTTGACAATCAACCCTTTTGAAGTAATTTTGTATCGTTACTGACGAAACTTTATATTATTAAATGTAATAAAGTGCTTCTAAAACATTTATGGACTTTGCTAACTCTGAAGCAGATCTTACGTGATCCATTTTTAATAAAATGTGCTTAAGTGTTAACCCTCGATAATAGAATTTAAAATTCGCTTAACACGCTGATGTGGTATTGGGGGACAAAAAGATAACTTTTAAATTTTGTAGCTTTACCTGACGAGGGTGGGACGCTGCGTTGTCCAAAAATAATAACATTTTTCGTTTTTGCATGACCATTTTTTTATCAAATTGGAGCATTCATTCATAATGTCTCGCGTCATCCATGCTTTCTTATTAAGTTTGCCAGTAAATCATTCAGTGCTACATTTTTAAATGGCCTAGGTTAGGCCGCCTTTCTGATCACCAGCAAATATTCTTTTTTCCCTGTCATATTAGCACAAAGTAAAATTGTTACATTTTTCAGACTTAAAAGCTTTGAAAAAAAGGCCAATTTTGGTCGGTGTTCAACACATCTTGCCGATACCCAAGGAGTAGCGTAAGCAACTTATTGACATCAGCTGATTCTCCGGAAATACAATCATTGGATGCCCGAAAGTTGATAAAATTAAATTTTTATGCTATTTCATGAGCTTTGGCCTTCACTAAACTTCCCGATAATGGAATGTTTTGGCTACGAGCACGAGAAAACCAATTAAGTAAAACACACGTTGTCAATTTGAAGTCCGTCAGTTTTCAAGAAACCCTTTTTTTGAACGGTATTGCTTCCTGACTCCCACTGTAGACGAATTTTCACTTTTATTCTTAACAATTTCCGCGGCTTGAGTTTTTCCGTTATAAAATTTTTCGCGACCTTCCGTACTGAGAAATGTTCCTTTTTCGAAACGTTCTATTTTTTCACGCAAACTGAGAAGTTTTTTACTAGGCGCCATTTCAAAAATCTCTATCACTCACTAGTTGCACAATAAAAAGAAAACAAGCAGTAAAGCAAATGTAACGTTTATACTTTATGGGAAGTAAAAAAGTTATTGGAAAATACCTAGTTGTAATCGTTGAAACAAAAATTTTTGCTGATGAATAAATATTTATATACAAGCAAGTACCTTCATACAGGGTGTCTCAGCGAGACCGGTCATTAGACGTTTCTGGGGTTCTGGCGAAAATAAAAATTTGAGAATTCAGACTTAAGTATTATCAATTACGATTTCTTCGTCTAAAATATTTTCATATTTCTTGCACTTCCGGTTATACCGGAAGTCGCCACCAACTTTATTTTTTTAAATGGAACACCTGTATATTTTTACATATTTGGATTTGTCTGTTTTCAAGGTTTATAAATAACTTTACTTTTTGCAATTTGATTCGGTCGTTCACGAGTTATTCGAATTTTTCTAGAAAAATTTGCTCCAGCAGACATTTGTCCAAAAAATCAGAAAACAGTCAATTTTTGGGATGTCAATTTAGGATTGAGAACATGCTTAAGCAACATGACGGAGTATGTTTTGGTGCCGAGAACTGCGGTCTAGAACGTTTGATCACTTTACTCTGGCACGTTAACTTTTCAAAATTTGGAAGTACCATAACTTCATTTTTTTAAATGGCACCCCTCATATTTTATTACTTAGTCGTCTTCGGTGTCTCATTCTACATCTTTTATATCCCATATGTCCCATACCTAACATTAATAGTTTGGGAGATAATTAGGGTTTTTTGAAAAATGCACACATATCATATGGATATTTAGCCTAGTGTGCCATGAAAAACAAGCCTTCTCAATGAGTTCTTGTCAAAGACTCACTTGTTTACGTCACTTGAT